TCTTTGTTTCGATTTCATTAATTTCTGCCCTGATTTTTGTTATTTCTTCTTGTCTGCTGGGTTTGGGTTTCGTTTGCTGTTGCTTTTCAAGGGTGTTGAGTTGCAATGTTAAGTCATTTATTTGTGTTCTTTCCGATTTTTTGATATAGGCATTTAGAGCTATAAACTTCCCTCTAAGGACAGCTTTCAGTGTGTCCCAGAGGTTTTGTTGTGTTGTTTTGTCCTTTCCATTCAGTTCCATGTGTTCATGTAGTTACTAGGGTTTTTTCCAGTGTTGATTTTAAGCCTTATTGCATTGTGGTCTGATAGAATGCATGGAATTATTTCAGTCTTTTGTATTTGTTGAGACTTGTTTTGTGCCCCAGTACATGGTTGATTTTGGAGAAACTTCCATGAGGCGCTACGTAGAAAGTATATTCTTTGGTGCTTGAGTTGAATATTTGGTAGATGTCTGTTAGGCCCATTTAATGTATGGGATTGTTTAATTCAGATGTCTCTTTGTTAATTCTCTGTCCTGTTGAGCTATCTAATGGAGACAATGGGGTACTGAAGTCCCCTTTTATTAATGAATTGTGATTAATCTGGGTACTGTTTTTATGAGGTTGGGTGTACCAGAGTTTGGTGAATATATGTTCATGATTGTAATATCTTCTTGGTCAATTGTTCCTTTGATCAGAATGAAGTGGCCCTCTTTATCTCTTCTTCTTAGTTTTAGTATGAAGTCTACTTTGTCAGATACTAGAATTGCAATGCCTGCTTTTTTCTTAGTACCATTTACTTGGTATATTTTTTTCCATCCTTTCACCTTAAGGTAGTGCTCATTGTCTTTGAAAGTGAGATGGGTTTCTTCCAGACAACAAAAAGATGGGTTTTGTTTCTTAATCCATTCAACTAATCTGTGTCTTTTGACTGGGAGTTCAGTCCATTGATATTTAAAGTTATTAATGAAAGATGTGTACTGATTCCTGTTCACATTCTTGGTGTAGTTATGCATTTCCACAGTTTTAATTTCATTAAGTTTCTTTCTGTAACCCTCTGGGTATAGTCATTCGTTTCTTCAGCTCTTTGTATTGCTCCCAGAACTCTCTGAAGGGCAGGTTTGGTAGACATGAGTTCTTTCAGCTGATTTATGTCATGGAAGATTTTTCTTTCCCCTTCGACTATAATAGACATTTTGACTGGGTATAGCAATCTGGGTTGGCATCTGTGGTCATTTAAAACTGGGAATACTTTGGTCCAGGCTCTTCTGGCTTTCATAGTTTGAATTGAAAAGTCAGCTGTAATTCTAATGGGTTTTCCGTTATATGTGACTTGTTGTTTCTCTTTTGCAGCTTTCAGAATTTTCTCTTTGTTTTGTGCGTGTAGTGTTTTTACTACGATGTGCCGTGGAGAGTTTCTGTTCTGATCCTGTCTGTTTGGTGTTCTGTATGCTTCTTGTATTTGTATGGGCATGTCTTTCTTTAAGTTTGGGAAATTTTCTTCCACAATTCTGTTGAAGACGGTCCATATCATTGTCTTGAGATTCTTCTCCTTCCTGTATGCCCATGATTCATAGGTTTGGTCTTTTTATGGTGTCACACAATTCCTGCCTATTCCATTCTTGTGTTTTCTTAAATTTTTATAATCTTTGCTTGAGTGGTCTAATTCATCCACATTATCTTCCAGTCTTGATATTCCATTTTCCATTTCATTCATCCTATTGGTGAGGCTTTCTCCTGTCATTTCTAATTGGCTTACTGAGTGTTTCACTTCCTTCTTCATTTCAGCCTGAGTATTCTTCAATATTTCTAACTCTTCTGAATTCATTCAGAAGTTTATCCCTGTCTTCCTTCAGTTCTTTGATTTCTTTGTTTTCTTTAAATTCGCTGAATTCTTTTATCATATTTATGATTGTTCTTTTGAATTCCATGTCCTGTGTTATCTATAGGGCATTCTCATTGTACTCCTTTAGAGGACTGTTGGTATTTGGTGGGGATATATTATTTGGGTTTTTCATTTTATTGCTTTTTCACTGTGACTTTGACACGTGGATTTCTTTTTTAGTTTCTGATTCTTGTGTGAGACCCAAGCCTTCTTTTGTTGAGTTTAGTTCTAGGCTTCATGTTCTGTCTTTCGATTTTACATTGGAGGGACCAAATTGTTTTCGTCTTGCTGCTCAGGAGTTCCCACAGAGGCCCAAGTCAGATGAGGGTGAGATGCTCTCAGCCTTTCTCCTATGGACTAGATCCCTCCAGGAAAGATGCTGACCCCATGAAGCTGGGAGGCTGGGCCACCCAGAGATACAAAGGGACCTGTGGAAGGAAAGAGGCCCTGAGGGCTCCAGGGGACTAGAGGGAGGGATTGAGTTGGTCTCGATGCAAAAGATCAGGTAGCAGTGGGGAGTCTGGGCCAAGAGGTCAGTCCAGAGGTCTGGAGTGCCAAGATAAGAAATGTGTCAGTGCCCCTGCTTGGAGGAGGAATGGATTCGGGGAGCTGGGAGGGTGAATGAGGCTGGTGGAGTCAGGGTGCAGTGGGCACCACCAAACTTACCCAGGAAATTTGATGGCTCCCTTGGCTACTTTCTTAAACGTGAGAATCCTTACTCTGTAAAATGGAGGTAAGAGATTGAAGCCTTGTGAATGTAGAGAGATGGTTTAGGTCAGAGCCATAGCTCTGTTATGATGAGTCATCGGTGCCAGAGTCATAATAATTCAATTAACACTGGCACAAGATGATTTCCAGACCACTACTTATCATTTCTTGGCTGTGGTGCACCATGTACCTACCTCAGGTGGAGCCTCTTGTATGTAGAGGTGCTGTTAGAGTCTCTTTTTCAGAGATTCCTCCAGTTTGCCAGAGACTTTCCAGGTTATACTTGCACACTTCCCTGCCCAGGAGGCTGATGTGGACAGTCATCCTGTGCTGGCCCTCAGGGCTGTAGTTGGGCTCATAGCCATGTGCTTTTGGCTGCCAGCACAAGATCGGCAGAAAGGAGAAATGAGCCCAGGGTGTGTTCTCTGGTTTTCTCATGGCCTATCTCTGGGGAAGTCCACACCCCTCCAGGGCTTTCAGTGCCATCTTAGAGCCAGGTCTAGACAGTACAAGAATTAGAACTCCAGGCAGGTCCGAATTGAGGGACAGCAGTGCTCTGTAACGCTAGACTGAGAACACTCCCTGCCTTTTCTGTGTCTGATCGGCCTTTCCAGGATGGAAGGAGGCCCCGGGGGGCCCTGGTTTTGAGTTTGCCCATTGTTACCTCCATTAGCACGTGTCTCTGAGAGTTGACCTAGTAGTGGCACAATTTATGAATTTTTTTATTTATGAAAATTTCATTGGTAACATAGATGTGTCACTTCTTGGAATAAATGGCATCAATTTCACTGTCCTTATTTCTGCATTTGATTTCCTGCCGCAGTAGTGGTGACCAGAACTCCAAACCTGGGTCAACGTATTTTATGGTTGTTTCTCTTTTTGCCTCCACAGAGATAGAAAAGTTCCAGAAAGGAGAAGGGAAGGAGGAAGAGAAGTACATTGACGTGGTGGTGAACAAGAACATGAAGCTGGGACAGAAAGTGCTGATTCCCGTCAAGCAGTTTCCCAAGGTAAGACTGAGGCCTGGCGTGTCCTGCAGACTCGCTGCCTGAGCCCCAGGGACAGAGCTGAGCTTCGTACTTGCTTTGCCATTCCCTCTTTGGAATAGAGAGTTGCATGGCTGAGAGCTAAGGTTGTTTGTGCTAGACGTTTCGAACAGTGCTTGGCACATCCACGCTTAGAAATGCCTGTTGAAATCTACCCTTTCTTGAGTCCACACACATGGTTGAGGCATGCTGTCATACACATTAGTAGTTAATTTCTTTGTATTTCTGAATAATAATCCTTACGGGACTGTTCCAGAATTTATTCAGGCAGTTTTCAGTTTGAGGTTATTATAAATTAAATTGCCATGACCATTTCATTGCAAGTCATTTTGTGACTGGCTCTTTTCATTTCTCTTGGCTAGATACCAAGTATTGCAATTGGACTGTATTTACTTTTGCAGGAAATGCCTATGCTTTTTTCCAAACTGGTTGTATACTGTAACATGTTCACAGATAAAGCAACTACATTGTGACTGCCCTGTGCCATGTTGCCTCACCAATATGTGGCCTTTTCACAGTTTTTATTACTATTATTATTGTTCAGATGTTGTATTGGTATTTTCTTGTGATATTAATTTGTACTTCTCCAACTATTAACACTTTTGTATGTTCATATGTCTTCTGCTGTGATGGTCTCATTTTTGACCCATTTTTCTCTGGGCTACATGCATTTTTAAATCACTGAACGGTGGGAACTGTTTACACATCCTAGATACTTGATATTTTGCAAATATTTGGTTCAGTCTCTGGCTTGCATGTTACTTTCTTTGTGAAGTTTTGTTTTGAAATTTCTGTAACTGATCAGTGTTTTGTTTTATGGTTATTGTCTTCAGTAAACTAAGAAATCTTGATGAACCTCAGGGCAATATCAGTGTTTGATAAATTATAAATGTATTATCCATTAAGAGTTTTTAATTATTTTAGCTTTACATTATGAGCTGTGGTTGGTTAGTTGGTTGTTGCTTTGTTTTTTTGATTTTTGTTTTTTGTTTTTTTGAGTCAGGGTCTCCCGGTAGCCACATCTAGCCTGGCCTGGAACACACTATGTAGACCAGGGTGGCCTTGATCTCTCAGAGATCCGCCTGCCTCTACCTCAGAGTGTTGGGATTAAAGGCGTGCACCACTCCTCCTGGCTCTCTTGTGGTTTGACAGTGTCCTCCAAATACTCATGTTTCTGGAAACCTAATTCCAAACTTCCTGTGTTACTTGTGTTTGGAAGTGGGACCCTTGGAAAGTAATTAGGTTTAGCTAGCTCATGAAAATGAGGCTTAGTTGGTGTTATTAGTGGCCTTAGGAGAAGAGGGACTGGGGAGATGCCTCAGTGGGTAAAGTGCTTGTTGTTCAAGCATGAGTACCTGAGTTCAGATCTTCAGCACCCACAGAAAAGCCAACCATGTCAGAGCTGTCTGTAACTCCAGCGCTGGGTAGAAACAGGAGGATCCTGTAGGCTTGCTGACCAGTCAGTCTAGGCAAAATAGAGAGCTCAAGGTTCCATAAAGAGACCCTGTCTGAAAAAGTTAGGTGAAAGCAATTGAAGAAGATGCCGGGCATTGACCTCTGGTCACCATTCCACATTACCACATACATGCGCATACACCCCCACATACGTGCACACACACACACACACACACATACACAAGAACAACAACAACAACAAAAGAAGAAGAAAGAGGAGGAGGAGGAGGAGGGGAATGAGGAGGGGAGAAGGTGGAAGAGGAGGGACCCAAGCTAGTATGCTTTCCATGTGGTGTTGGCTTCCTTCGCATGATGTGGCATGAAGGTCCTCACGATTACCAAGACTGTAAGCAAATTCTAGCACCTGCTCTTGGATATCCCAGCATATGAAAGTATCAGCCCAATAAACTATTACCTCCATCAGGTATTTCATTATAGCAATAGAAACAGGCTAAGGCAAAAGTCAGGCTTACTTTTTCCTTATTGCGATTTGTTGAAAGATGCTTTCTGTCCATGGATTGATTGAGCAGCCTTGATGTGTGTCGGATGACTGTGGTAGGGAGGGTATGTTTCTGAACGCTTTGTTTTGTTCCTTTGGTGTATTTATGGATCCTTATGCCAGGACCGCAAGGTCGTCTTTACTGCAGCTTTTTATAGAGAGACATGAAGTTAACGTTGCTTCAGCTTTGACCTCCCTTTTCGAGTTTGCTTACAGGTTCTTTTGCAATTCCATCTAAATTTAAGAATTCATTCATGGATTTCTGCTGAATGAGCTGCTGGGATTCTGGTTGCACTCGTGCTGTCTGTTGATTACTCTGGGGTTGTGACATCCCACAGTGTTACTCACGCACTTCTTCAAGGTGGTGTATTTCTCCGTTGGTCTACCTGTGCCCTAAATGCTGTCCCCAGCGTGGCTTCCCTTTCACGTAAGGGTCTTGTATGCTTTTGTTCTTTTGGTTTGACACAGGGCGTTGTGTATTCCCGATTGATCTCACAGTCACTGTGTAGCCAAGGATTACAAACATGTGCCACCACGCCAGTTTATGAAGTGCTGGGGATGAAACCCACGGCTTCCTGTACCACCTGAGTAGCAGCCTCGGGTTTTATGTGCCCCTTGTTAAACTTTTCCTGGAATATCTTCTGTCTGAATAAGCACTGTCGTAAATTAGAGATTTAAAAGGTTTTGTTTTCTAAGACTCTAATATAAAATTTTATCTTTATTTATTTTTTCTTTTGATTTTTCTAAATTATTAGTTTTAGTAAGTTTTTTTATAGATTTGTTAAGATTCTTATGTTCATAATTACATCGTCTGCATAAATAGCTTTACTTCTTCCTTTACAACATTTAGACCTGTTATTTATTTTGCTGACACTACTGTCTTGGCTTGGATCGCCAGTGTAAGACTGAATACAAGAGTGGAGACTTGAGCCCTCCTTGTCTCCAGATGGAGGAAAGGATTATTTTATTTATTTTATTTTCATCATGGATTTGTTTATATTGGTAAAATTTATAAGAAAAATATTTGAAATGAAAAGCCAGTTGTTAGGTTTCATGCACTTACTCTGTTTACCTTTCAGTTAAGCATACCTTCCTATTGTCCTAATTTTAACCACGAAGTGAGGCATTCATTCCTCGCCTCTGATGTGCACATCTTAAACACTGTTATTAAATCGAGTGTCTAACTTTGTCACAAGCAGCACGTTCTATTTTCCATAACTCAAGGAAAGTTATTTAATAAGCAGCTTAACACAGTCTTAAAGAAAAATAACAGCCTTTTAAAATACAGGGTAGTATGGATGTTTTTACTCAGACTCCCTATTCGTGAAAATGTAGAATCACAGTAGCCATGATTCCACAAAAATGTTAAATGTCCTTAAAGTTGAAAATAAGTTTATTGAAGCTCTAATGTGTTGATTTTTGTCTGTCCATAATTTAAAGTTTTATTTATTACACTTCTGCAGTTAACACTCAGAGTGCAAGTTGGCGCCGTATTTTGGACAAGCAGCAGTAGGCTTGCAGGGGTAGTTTAGCTCCCAGCTTCTCACTGACTAGGCAGGAGATATTCCCTTCTGTTTTGTCTTTGCTGGGAATTTTGATCTGCCCTGGACTGTGAACTTTGCTTAATGTTTTTCTGTATCTGTTGAAATGAAAACAAGTTATTACTTACCTAACTGTATATTAGATTTCAACTTTTCATTGCTTTGAATTAATCCTTTGTATTAATTAATATTAAGCATTACTTGATAATGGCATTCATTTGCACTGTGCTGGATTCAGCACCATTTATGGTCTTCACTGATAATGGTCTACAACTCTTTATATTGTTGAAAAGTTTTGTTGCTAGTTTTATGTTGTTTTCATAAAATGGGTGAAAATAATGTTCTTTTCCTTTTTCTAAAGAAATGTAGGTCAGACTGGTGCTCTTTCTGCCTAAGTATTTGGTAGAATTTACCAGTGAAGCCATCTGGGCTTGGTGTTTGATGAATTCAACAAGTTTGTTGTAGCACTGGTCAAAGTTTCTGTTTCAGTTGATCTGAAAAAAGTCATTTTCTATGAGACTAGTCCATTTCATCAAATATTTAAAATAAAGTATTTCTTGAAATACTTTTTGTGACTCTTCTCTTGCTGATCTAGACTTGCTGCATTGCTGTCCACCTTTTGATAGTCTAACTTTCTTGTGACTCTTGAGTAGTGCTGTTTTTATTTTGTTTTTTTGTTGTTTTGTATTCCCCCCGTTCTTCAGATTAGATTATTTCTCCTGTGTGTGTGTGTAGACAGACAGACACAGACAGACAGACAGACAGACTGATAGATAGATAGATAGATAGATAGATAGATAGATAGATAGATAGATAGATAGATAGATAGAGATAGAGATAAAGTGATAAAAATAGAGATAGAGATCTCTCTCTATATTTTTTCCTGTTACTGTCATTTGGTTAGTATCGCTACCAGGTGAACATTTGTATATCAGCAACAGTAATTGTATATGTGTATGTGTGTGTGTGTGTGTGTATGTGTGTGTGTATGTGTGTTTAGAATATGTATTTGTGAATGTATGTGTGTGCATGTTCATGTGTGTGAGTGCAGGCACATGTGTGCCACAGTGTGTGTGTGGAGGTCAGAGGACTACCTCATGTGGTTCCTTGCCCTTGACCTTGTTTGAACCAAACTCTCTCTCTTGGTTGTTCCGAGCTCTGGCAGCTGTCCTGGGAGCTTCTGGGCAGTCAGAGGACAACCTCAGTGTGGTCCTCACCCACGACCTTGCTTGAGTCTGGTTCTCTCTCTTGGTTGGCTGGAGCTGCTTATCTCAGGCCAGCTATGCTGGGAACTCCTGGGTATATTTTCCTAACTGCCTCCCTTCTCACCAAGGAGTGGAGATACAGATGTGTGCTACTGCACCCAGCTTTCCTTGGGTTCTGGGGACTGGAGATCAGGTCCCAGGCCTCCAAACCATATCTAGCTCTCGGTCTCTTAAGGGATTTTGTGGTGTATCCTGGACATTATG